AGATGATGTTATGGGGGTTCGGGTGACGATAATATCGGGGTTCAGATGGCGGTGGTACCGAGGTACAGGCGCTGATATTATCGGGGTACAAGTGGTGATTTTTTCCACCTTCCGATGGTGACACTGTCCTGGTTCAGCCACGACCCGGGGCAGCCGCAGCCCGCAAGCAGCGCTGGGATTCGGGGAGCTTAAAAGGGAACAGGGGGTGCACATGGCCCCCATATTTCAGGGCCGTGGAGGAGGGGGGCTCTTCCCACGGCCCACGCCCCGCCCGTGGCATTGAACCTTCCCCCGGCCCTGTTCGACCGCGTAGAAACCGCGGCGTTAGCGCGGCTCTCACCCGCGTCGGGATTGTGCCAATACCTGGATTTCCTCACCAAAAAACCCCACAAAAAAACCCCCTAAAAACCCACAAAAAAACCCCCAACTTAAAAATTCAGGGAAGAAAAAAAAAATCTATAAATATCAATAGGGAGAATACAGAAATTAATGATAGAACTGGAATATCTTTAATTATCGTCGCTGCCGCGAGGCTGGAGGGAAGAAACGGGGAGAGCAGAGAGAGAGGAAGGGAGGGTGCTGTGCGCGGGGAGGTGGGTGCAGGGTGGGTGCAGGGGCACGGGGACCCCCCCCGGCCCCGCTGAGCCCCGTGTCTCCCCTCGCCCAGACTCCGCCGGGCAGTTGCCCCCCGACGGCTGCTCCTTCCGCCGGGGCCGCAAGAAGAGGGTCCCGTACAGCAAAGGGCAGCTGAAGGAGCTGGAGAAGGAGTACGCCAGCAGCAAGTTCATCACCCGCGACAAGAGGAGGAAGATCTCGGCCGCCACCAACCTCACGGAGCGACAGATCACCATCTGGTTCCAGAACAGGCGGGTGAAGGAGAAAAAAGTCGTGGCCAAAATCAAAAGCGGCACCGGCGGCACCCCCTGAGGACGCGGCCACCGCGAAGCCCCCGAGGGGTCCCCGTCCCTCCCCCGCCACCCCCGGGGGGCTCCAGCCGGGCCGGGGCAGCGCAGGGGGCGGGCATCGCTGCCAGGGGTGAGACCCCCTCCAAAGGAGGGGAGATGCCCCCTCCCTGCAGGCGGAGCCCCCCGGACAGTTTGCTGTCTCCTCCCCGGTCCGAACAGCGCCCGCCGAGCGTAAAAATATCGGCGGAAAACCGGCCCGATTGCGTTAATTAACCCCAACACGCGGCTCCCGGAGTGCGGCGGGAGAGAGGTTGGCCGGGGATGGAGGGAGGGAGGGAGGGGGGAACACGGAGAATTTGGTCTTTAGAAAAGAAAACCCGTCCCTAAAAAAAAAAAAAATAAATAAATAAAAATCTCCTTAATTCAGGCAGAAGTATCCAAACGAGCTTGTAAGGGAGAATAAATAAATAAATCCGGGTGCGTGGCAGCGAAACGCACCTGAATTATCTGCGTAAAGGTGAATGTACAGAAAACACATATCACATATATGTAGGCACGCATTTATAAAGGCACGTACGACTTTTTTCTCTTTTTTCTTTTTTTTTTTTTTTTTTTTTTGCGCGCGGTTATATATAAAATATACATACGCACACGCCGATATTTAGCGTTATTTTACCCATTTTATCATACGCGATATTTGTGTTGGTGAGTTTCTCTATCCCCGGCTCCGTGTCTGCACGTGTGCATTCGATATAGTCCTGGCTGTGTGGATATAAATATAAAATATATACTCGGATGAAGGTGTATATACACGTGTTCCATATACCTGCAAATATCTATGCTCGTGGCTATATTTTGGTACAGGTAAACGCGATGCCTATATTTCGAAACGCGCTTTCGTTTGTGCTTAAAATCCGCGTATTTGTACACAGGTTTTTCCCTCTACTAATCCGGAATTACAGCGATTCCCTTCGTAGCATGCGCTGAGATAATCCCCGTGTAACACTAAATGATCTTGGTTGATATTAAGAAGCGTCCTCGTCCTTTTCGGCGGAATAAATGGGGTGAAATTAAATACACTCGAACGTGCGTTTTTCTCTGCTCTTTTCGGCTTATTCGCGGCTCGGGGAAGCGCCAACTCCACCTACACGGTTTCTTTGTTTAATATCTCGGCTCGCAGAGTCCCCGTGGCGTTCAAACCTGCCTGAAACTCACCCCCAAAAAAAATCCCCAAACACCTTTACCACGACCAAAAAAAAAAAAATTGCCTTTTTTCCCTGCCTTTTCCCTCTTTTTCCGAAATTCGAAGCTTTAAGCCGCGTTTTGCCCTAAATAATGATAATTTCAGATAGTTTGTTGTTTAATGAAATATTTATTAAATATTTCAGCCTTTGGGGCGGCTCCGCTGCCCGCGGGTTCCCGACGGGGATTGGAGCAGAGCCGGCGCGTTATCCCTCGCTATTTTTCCCTTTTTCCCCCAGTTTTCCCCAGATATTTTCTCCCCGAGCTTTGCGGAGGTGCCGAAACCTTCTCCCGGTGACGTCACGCGTGACGTCAGAATCCCAGTGAGGAGAACAGCCAATGGCGGAGCGTTTTGACGGGTGACGTAAGCACGGGAGGCGGGGCATACGCTTTAAACCCCGCCCACCCGTGGGGAGCCTCCGTGACCCCCGACGGCACCAAAAAATTCCCTAAAAAAAAAAAAAAAAGGAGTCAAAGGGGCGATCCGGACCCCGGGAGCTGTGTTACCAAAAAGGGGATTTCTCGCCCCAATTTCTGTGCCTCTGCACACAAAGCAGAGCAGAAGAGGCGTTACCCGGAGGGAGGAGAACCCTCGGCTGTCCCCCAGAGAAAGGCAGATAAACCAAGAAAATAAAATAAATCCGGTTGGATTTAGGGGTTTGGAAAGGGACCCTCCTCCCAAACCCTCCCCCCCGTGGAACGTTAGGGGTTAATCCTCTCAGCCAGACGTTTTCCCCCCATCCTTTTTTCCCCCCTCCGTCTGGAGATCTTTCCCCGATGTCCCCAAACCCGCACGGGAACTCCTGGAAACCCCCGGACACCCCCGGCGGGATCCTCACCCAGTGGGAAACTGGGCTGGAACTGGGAGAGACACGACCCCCCCGCCCCCAACCCCTGCCCTCGGCTCCGGCCCCGGGTCCGAAGCGGAAAATGCAGATGGGAAGGGGAGGAGGAGAGTCTCGGGGAGAGCTGTAAAACCTTTACACGGCGGCCTCAGCAAAGGGCGAGAAAGGCCCGACATCCTCGTAAAACCCCGGGAAGGAGCCGCTGCCGGGGGGCGCCGGGCCAGGTGAAGGCTCCCCCCCCTCCCTTTGCCGTTGAACTTGAAACTCAGAAAACCCGGGCCAGAACAGCCCCAAAACCTGGGATAGAACA